GGTCTTTTCATGGAATGAATAGAATAAATGACAGAAATTGAGAATTGGAGACTAAAAATTTTATCGGATTATTATTATGTAATAATATTTGCTTATTTGTGTTTACCGTTTCATGTTGACTCGCAGGTGTTTTTATTTTAAAAAATTTGAAACACTTTTGGCGATGGACGATAGTGCGGAGTAAAGAGTTGTGTAATATTATCACTTTTGATTTTTTAATTTTTAATATTGGTAAGGGATGGGCATTAATCAGTAGTTTATTAATATTATTAGAGGCTAGATTAATTTACACTATTTTATTTTATTTTCATTTTCGTCTTCACAATTGAATTAATTTAATTTTATCCATTCTTAGTGTTATACATTGAATGAAGAGGAATTATGGTAAAGATCAATCAAAAGTTTTTTTTTATCAAAACAAAGACACAAAGCAAAAGGCATTCGAAATCTCATTCGGGTAATGGAAAAATCTCTCCATTTATTCCTGAAAATTTTAAAAATCTATTTTTCCACTCATGTCGTAATGATATCGGATATCGGCTCTCCTCATGCCTATGGTCGGATTTCAATAGATATCAATATTTTAGCGAGAAGAAATTTAAAAAATGCACAAAAGTGGCCAGAAAGAATTAAAAAAATTAATTTTTCAATGTCTGCGGAAAGTTTTAAACATCAATTTTTTTCCAAATAATGGAAGAATACCCCTAAATTTGATTTCTACCCTGGTCTTTTCATGGAATGAATAGAATAAATGACAGAAATTGAGAATTGGAGACTGAAAATTTCATCGGATTATTATTATGTAATATTTGCTTATTTGTGTTTGCCATTTCATGTTGACTCGCAGGTGTTTTTATAAAAAAATATTTGAAACACTTTCGGCCATGAACGATAATGCAGGGGAGAGAATAGTGTAAAATGGTTACTTTTGATTTTTTTAATTTCAAGATTCATAACCTGGGATCGGGAGGAATCATTAGATTATTAATATTATTAGAGATTGCATCTTACAATAATTAAGGTTTACTAATCTGCATTGAAATTTGAAAAATGATAAAATAATTCATTTAAATTTTCAATTGACTAGGAATTAAATAATTGACAATATGGAATTGTCAATTGACTATTGAGTACCACCAATAATTCTAAATTTCTTAAAACGGATTTTTGTGTAGCCAAATAATTATTGATTGATAAAATAATTCAGAATTCGAATATTTAATTGATGATTATTTTAGTAATTAAAACATTGTCGAGTAATATTACCAATTGGCTTATTCAAAATTTAACTCCATTAAAATTTATGATTATACTGATGTCTGTTCATAGCTCAAAAGAAAAATCATCAAATAAGCTCTGTCACGGGACCTATGACTTGAGAGCTGGGAATAGAAAGATTTTTCATCACGAAATTTTCCAATTCCATTGCTTGAGAAATATTGAAAAAAAAAACAGATAATTAGCAGCATGCGAGTTATATTTCGCAATTTGTTTTTTTCACAGATTTTCTTGTCACGAATCACTAATGGATTTCTGTGAAACTTCTCAATTGAAATAATTTTATTACGAATTTGCAGAATTGATTTGTAGAGTAAGAAATTACAATGTTCATCAATTATTTATGAGAAATAATGCACTTTTCCAGATTTTTTAACTCTTATAGTTCCCTTTTTCCCTTCAAAAATTATATTATTATTATATTATTTATTATTTTACGAATTTTTCGCAAAAATCAAAATTCCAAAATTTTGTATCAATTTTTTTACTATTCTCTGATGTTTAACTGCATAATGCATTGAAAAATGTGAATAAAAAAAAATTATCGAAGAAATTAAATGCGAAAAACTCCTTTATATTGAAAAAATATTTTGTCAACAATTCAATAAATTATCAACCTCCTCCAGTTCTCTAATGGGTTCACATAAAATAAAAATTCAAAAGTGTTCATTTTATTCCAATTCCTCTAAATCGAAAATATCGAAACGAATTTCGTGATAATTGCCCCATGTCTCGGAACCTCCCAAGAATTACTCCGTCATCCTGTCCATTCCCCTCATGAAATTATGATGTAAATTAAAAAAGGGTCTTGCGGTGAACCACCACTCTCCTTTTTTTTCACTGAATCAAAAACTTGTGGAAGAGCAAGACAGGTGAAAATTGCAATAGATGGCAATGGTGGTACGTTAGAGAGTCTGAGACACGTCGACAAAAAGTTGGGAATCTTTCATCGGTCAGACCCCGCACCGTCATTACTCTAATGATACCTTTCCGCCGTTCTTCTTCCGTTCTTCCAATGGTTTTCCTCTCCCTTCATTTATTACCTACAGCACTCTCTATCGCGAATTGTCGATTTCACGATAGGAATCATATGGGTATTTCACTGAGAAAAAAGTGTTAATACATTTGAATCTGAAATGAAATGCTCAACCGTGATATGTCAACTTGGACAGTTTTTATGGATGATAAAATACGAAGCTTGGCGGAAAATATTGATCTTGATTTTTTTTATTTCAAAAATAACGGAACATCGAGAAATTATTGCTAATTACGGATATCCAAGTACTTCGGATATTTTTTCTCCAGTGGAAATTCTTTTCTACTTTTCTACTTTTGTGGTCGAGCATCAGAGCTTTCATTTGCACTCGATTTGACCCCAAGTTTCCCGACCGTTTACAATGATTTTGTTATTTAAATTTTGTATGTCTGCATTTAAATCTCGATATTGAACCGTTAGAAAACATTTTAAAAATCTGAAAGGATCTACAAAGTTTACTTTGAGAGGAACATTGATAAAATCATAAAAACATTTGTTCGGAATCGCAACAAATTTACTCACATTCAGAATTTTACCAGAAATCGATTTCATGCTTAAAAAAATAAGGTTTTCGAAAATTTAAACAATTTCAATTATTTCTTTATAAACAACAAATGTTTGAAAAGAATAATAATTCTGCAAAATGCAATTTGAATGACGCTAAATATTCACGATTTTTTTGAAATTTTTCATACGCAATTTAATTGACAAATTTGTTGATAGAAAATTATTGAATTTATCCTTGAATATCCTTAAAAATAAAATCTGCATCACATGGACTCAATACAAATGTTTTTCATCGATTAAACCCCATTCTTTTTTCATCATTCATAATCGAGATAATTCGCCATTTTACATTTTCTCATTCATTTTTGATCACCCATAAAAATATTTGATAACCTAATCTGAAATTCTTCATTCAATTTGCATATCTAATAATTGAAAAGACAATGTCAACCCTTCATTCATCCAGAAAATTTTGTTCAAGAAGTGTCTCTTCATAATCGAGACAATCAGACATTTACTTCGCAATCAATTTACATTCTCTCCAGTGAACTCACTCATGCAAAAATGTTAAATCACAGCTCCAATAAAATAACACAATCCTCAGGCATGTGTAAACACCATAAACAAAACAAGCATCTCAAATTATTTCATTAATCTCACCTCGTGTTTTTTTTTTTTAGGGAAGACGAGCAAATCATCGGTTCGTACTTGGAGATAACAGCGACAACACTGGAGGATTATGGCCAGTACGAGTGCATAGTCAGCAATGGTGCTGACGACGAGATGACGCTATCAGCTCACATTTATCTTCATGGTAATTGAGAGTCTTTTACTTTCACTATCACCATTTCAAAGAAGCCTCGCAGAATGAAAAAAACTGCATTTACGAGTTAAAACTTGTCATTTGATATTCAACGATACAAATAATTGTAAATAATTGTTGTAATTGTTATTATTATTTTTCTACAGATGAAAGATACGTTCTTGGATTGAGAAATGGATCGTGGAGGAAGCCACTGATGCTCGGAGTTGTCTTCTTTGTCCTTGTAGCATCGATGATCGCTTCTTACATCAGATGTTGGCTGCCGTTGGCTGTCCTCTGGCGCAACAGGTTTTCACGCCTTGAAGAAAATGGTAAAAACTCGAATATATCTTCACATTGTTATAGATTTATTCGGTGCACTCCAGATATTTGAGTTCTTGTCTCCCCCCCCCCTTTACAACTTGTATTTTTCATTCATAAGGGGATAATTTTATTGGAGAGTCGAGAGGAAATATTAATCCTTGATGTATTTATTTTTATTCATTCCAGATGGAAAAGACTGCGATGCCCTCGTATGCTATCATGAAAAGGATGCAGTAGTTGGCCTGGGAGTATTAGTAGCTACGTTGGAGAGTAAATACCACTTGAAGTGCACGACACTCGAGCTTTCACACTTGAATCGCAACTGTAAGTAGTTATCTTATCAGTGAAATGTTGTGATTCAATTCGGTTGGGAAACTGTCAATCAGTGTGAAGGAGACACGCGAATTAGGGTTAAAGTTGTGCCATACATCAACATCGACACGGAATTTTTTTGATGAAAATAACTTGTTACATGCAATAGAGTCTTCAGTGTTTGACACGCTTGATATTTTGCATTGAGATTTTGTCTACAGAAATTGTGTGCCTCATATTCTAATTAAAGAACATAGGGGAGGATGGGGTAAAATGGACACTGGACTTTTTTTAAATTACTCATAAGTCAGAAAGAAATTAATCAATTGAGCTCAGTTTAGGCTCATCACAAAGGGAAAGAAATGTTCTAAACTGTGGAACACAGCTAGTTAGAATTTTTTCAATACCTGGGGAATATTATAAACATTATCTATGGAAAACATGGGGACAATGGTGAGAAAAACATTTTTTGTAGGGATATACCTTAAGGATATTTAAGTATAATATCGTTTACAGTTTAGTACAGACTACACTACAGATTCAAGAATTTTCCATCGTCAAATTTCTCAATTCAGTTGCGTGTGAAAAATTTGTAAAAAATTATGAATATTCAGCGTCATTCAAATTACATTTTGCATAGAATTATTATTCATTATGATAGCTTCCGGATGGATGACGCGTTGAGATTCAGCTTTTTGCCGACGTTTCGCAAACATTTCAGCCTGCATCATCAGGGCTAGGTTGCTCCGATACTCCGATTTTTTCAAACATTCGTTCTTTATAAATAAATAAATAATTAAAATTGTCTAAACTTTCGGAAACTTTATTTTTTTAGGCCTGAAATCGATTGGCCGTTTACAAATTATTTGTAGAAAGTGCTCGTAATTTTCAAAAATTGCAATTGTTTAATTATTTCATCGATCATTGTCAAAAAGTCTATTGATTTTTCATTGATTGAAAATTCAAATTTTTTATTTCTACATATCTGCCGCCTCCGGGTGTTTCATTGGCCTCAGAATCGTTAGGAGATACGGAATCAACGTTCACTTGGCATAAAAATTCGTTTTTGCCGAAAGTCGACTCCGCCTGGAAAAATTCAAATACCATTGTCATTCTGCTTTTTTGTCAGATTGTTAAAATGTTTTCTAACGGTTGAATATCGAGATTCAAATTCAGACCTGCAAAGTTCAAATAATAAAATCTGGGTAAAATTTCCGGAAACTTGCGGTCAACTGGGCCTCAAATGAAAGTTCTGATGTTCGACTACAAAAGTAGAAAATCATTTCACTGGAGAAAAAATAACCAAAGTAGTTGGATATCCCTAAGAGTCCGAAGGTGTTCAATCTTAGAACCCTATAATTTTCGATTTAAGAACTTTGCTGACTAGAAATAAATGCGTTTTTGGTAATAAATTTTAGAGTTGTTTCTCCTGAAATTAAGTAACATCTTTTCTTCTCAATACAATACCTTCCAGAATCATCAGTTTCGTAAAATCAATACCTTGATTATGGAAACAGAAAACTTTTTCCCAATCTAATCAGACATTGAATTTAATCTGTTTCAGGGAGTATGGAAATATCTCCACATGCAGCATCAGCTCGTCGGGTAATAATTCTCCTCAGTCCAAACTCGATACAGCAGCCGTGGACAGAGGGCCACGTGGGTTTGGTCCTCAAGCAGATAAGTCAACTCACCACAAAATCAATTGTCGTATCTCTCACTGATCTTCCAAGTATCACCTCATTCGCCAAGACAGGCAGTTGTGTTGACCCTGCAAGCGATGGAATTGTCCTCGACAAAATGACAATACTGAGATGGGACGAGAAGGAGAGGGAAAATTCGAGTGATTACAAATTCTGGTGCAGATTAAGACTTCTCCTACCTGTGGTGAGACCGTCATCGAAGAATTCTGACGATTTGAGGTGTCAGAGTGTCGCTATGATCATTCAGTCGAATGGGACAAACTCACTTCAGATGAAGGCACGATCCCACGGAAACTTCGAGGTTCTCGTTTAGAATTAGTATTATTTCTTGTTTATATCGTATTACTTGTGATATAAGAATCATAATTTTTCTGCGCGTTAAACGTTCGGGCAATTCAATTCATCAATTCCCATCGATTGTCAATCAATCAATTGACAATTGAGTGGATAATTGCAACTCAACATTCCTCATTGAATTTCCTTTATTTTTATGTTTCATTGCTTTGTACATATACGTGACTGGGTACGTAAGTTTTGTCGAGTAGCATACCATTTAGGATTTTTTTTTCAACCTCTAATTTATTCAACTAGGTGATATTTTTTATGTTAACAAACTATTTTAGATTAGTTGTATTAAGCCAAAAAGAAAACCACATTTAAATTTTTTTAGTTCTGTAGTGGAGTGCAATAAGATGAAGCGCTACATTTTTTAAACTTTTTTTACGAAGATAGTGCAAGTATTCTTGAATATACAGGCCTGATATCGAAATATCGTTGGGAAAAATTGATGATGTCATTGACGAGTTAATGGTCAATTATATTCTTACAGTTATCTGAGGAGATGTTTTTTCGTGAAGAAAAACATTTCTTGGGAGTGCTCTGAAAATTATAAGAATTTATTGAATTGTTCTGGTGAAAATCACAATTTTTTTTCTCATTATGGGAATTCGGTGGTGAAGGGGTAAATCGTGATGATTTTGTCATTTTCTTATGTTTGTTCAGTGGTTCTTGATCTAAAAAAGGGGATTTCGAGGGAAAATATCGGGACATCTTTCTTCTGAGGTTGATGTTTACGTAAAATAATCTCTTGACATTCGTCTACAACTTCACATGATGAAAAAAAAAAAATTTAATTTAACAATAAAAAAATAAAATGGTTATTACGTTTTACCAATTCTCTACTCAACCAATATTGTTTATTTTACTTCATTACGAATAAATTTTAAGTGGTGAAGTGGTAAATCGTGATGAGCTTGTCGTTTTTTTTTGTTTGTTAATTAGTTCTTGATCTAAAAACGGTGATTTCAGGGGAAAATGTTGTGAAATCTTTCTTGCGTGTTAGATGTTGACAAAAAACAATCTCTTGAAATTTGCCTATAACTTCACATCATCAATAAAATTGAATATTTTATTTTAACAATAATATAACAATAAAAAAATGAAACGGTTGTTACGTTTTATCAATTCTCCATTGAACAAATATTGCTTATTTTACATTATTACGAATTTAAATTTCAAATGGTGAAGTGATAAATCGTAATGAGTTTGTCATTTTTTTGTTTGTTAATTGATTCTTGATCTAAAAAAGATGTTTTCAAGGGAAAACATCGAGACATCTTTCTCGTAAGATCGATGTTCACATAAAATCATCTCTTGACATTCGTCTATAACTTCACATTATCAGAAAAATCAAGTATTTTATTTTAACAATAAAAAAATGAAATGATTGTTACGTTTTACCAATTCCCCGTTGCAACAATATTTCTTATTTTACTTTATTACGAATTTAAATTTTGAATGGTGAAGTGGTAAATCGTAATGAGTTTGTCATTTTTTTGTTTGTTAATTGATTCTTGATCAAAAAAAGATGTTTTCAAGGGAAAATATCGAGACATCTTTCTCGTAAGATCGATGTTCACGTAAAATCATCTCTTGACATTCGTCTATAACTTCACATCATCAGAGAAATAAAATATTTTATTTTACCAATGAAAAAATAAAACGATTGTTACGTTTTACCAATTACCCATCGCAACAATATTTCTTATTTTACTTCATACGAATTTAAATTTTCTAGAACATTCGAATAATTCTTATTTTCCGTTGAAAAATTTACAAATATATTTTTTTCAATGTCAGTATTACATTGCATACGTATGATTAGTGCCTGCGATTGCATTAAACATGTTGAAAATATTTTTCTAACTAACGCCAAGTGTCAAACTCACGAATATAAATACAGGTGGACTAAACAATTTTACCTGATTTATTTTACTCGACATTCTAGAGTACTATCTCAATTGCATTATTTGTCGTAATGAGAGTCGAGTTGGATGGGTCACGAGTGAAGCGATTTTAAGTGAAGAATTTAACAAACGAGTATTATAACGGAGTATGCGCATTTGTATCTTGTTTAGGGGAGAATTTTTTTGTTACTTTTATACTATTCACAGGCACTTGTACTCCAGGCAAAAAACGAATCCTCACAATTTCGTAATTCATTCTGTGTTATCCGACTGTTTATAATGATTTTCTCCTTTTTATGATGTTCAAAATAAAATTTCATGTTTTTGATACAGTTCCACTTTTATTTTATTTATTTTTATCCTCGATATATTTTCATCCCTGTCCCTACATTTTCAAGCAATCAATTTTCGTTATAAAAATCATTTGTTCGGAATCGTAACAAATTTATTCATATTCAAAATTCTATCAGAAATCGATTTCATTCCTTAAAAAATAAGGTTTCCGAAAGTTTAAACAATTTCAATTATTCATTTATAACAAACGAATGTTTAAATAAACGATAATTCTGTGCAAAATCTAATTTGAATGACGCTGTATATTCATGATGTTTTTCAAATTTTTCTCACGCAATTTAATTGACAAATTTGATGATTGAAAATGGTTGAATTTACACTAAGAAAAAAATCGACATAATATCACAAAAATCATTTCTTGAGCGAAAAATATCGCATAGGGTAAACTGCCCAGTAGGGGGACGTTTGTTTTTTAACAATTGAAAAAAAAATTGATCGAAAAAAAATCGTCACTCAGGAGTTAAGAATCACAACAGTTGGTGAAAATTCAAAGCAACAAGCTCCGCTTCTCTCCGCGTCCGTGAATCTCTGCCTACGGCCGTCATGACAAAAAAATTCTTGATTTTTTCACATCTAATGAAAAAAAATCAGATTTTAATCTTTGATTACAATGGAAATATTGATTTTCACATAATACACTGGGTTAAATCCTGATTTTGAAACATTTCTTCTTTGAAAAACCAAAACGATAATTAAATTGAGAAAAAAATTAGAATTCCGAATCTAATCGAGTTTTCTGCAATTTTATTGCAGTTTTCAATAATCTTTGAATTTACCGTAAGGGTAGAACTACTTTAAATCTCAGATTATCAAAATATTTTCATATTCAATAGAACGTGTGAAATCAACTTGTCACATTTTACAACTTAACTGTTGAATGAATTCCCGCATAGTGATGAGCTAATTAAAATTCAACTGTTATTGTATTACAGGTCATAGCCACCATTACGTGATCAGATGACTCATCATCATCTCCTCTGAACTCACAAATCCGGATTTAACTTACCTGACATCTCCCCAACATTTCATCCAGTCACACCATTCGAATAAATTAACAATGTCATATATCCGTCGTATGAATAAAGAAACGTTGAATGCGGATTAATTAATTGAAGTACTTTATTGCCTACCCTAAAAAGGAAGAATCAATGTTCCTCGTGAAAAATTACATTTTTACAATTCACGCTCTCGCAAAATAGAGACAATCATAATTATTACACTGATTCATAACGACATTATAAATTAACATTAAAAAATATTGACATGAACATGGTAGCACACAATATATCCATGAACTTTGGCGATTATCATGGGTACAAAGACAAGAAAAATCAAGGTAAAGTGAAATATTTCAACAATGTTTGATCCTATTTTACATCGCGTTACCTTCGTATTTTTTCGAAATTAATTTTTTACGACGTTATTCCCATTAAAAAATAGCACCAAGATGCTCATCAACTCTCTATATTGACAATTTAAATGGCAGCACAACGGACATCAATTTATTCTTCTAAAATAATAAACTGGCGTAAATATTAAGAGTAGAAAAATATACCTCTGCATATGCATCATTGCACTTTCGTAAAATCTCTATAAAATACTTTGGACGATGTATCAAATTTTTATGTACATGTGATGTAAGTAAGAATTGTTCAACTAATGAAAATTCCCCCTGCGATAGTGATAAAGTTACGTATTAACAATTCCCACAGGATCATTCTGGTGTTATGAAGAATCTGAAAATTCCCTAGGAGAATTTCCTTAACTCAAAATTGGATTCGCTATAGAAGTCTTACAAAAAAGCTTTAGATTTTTCTCGGGTTGAATCACTGTCTTATAAAGAATTTCTAGAGACTTTTTTTTCTACAGTGTTTATACTGAAATAATTCCTATGGGAACAACCGAATTCTCGAAATTTTTAATACATGATTTTTATAGATTTTTACAGATTGGTCCCTGGCGATCGACGTCTTCTGGTCATTCGATACGTATGAAAAAACCGTATAGAAATGTTCACAAGGGGTGACTTATGTGAAATCCTACAGGTTTATTGTAGATAATATCCTGATAATTTCTATACAGAGTTTATCTATAGAAATTCCTCAGAGTTCTGTGAGTATTAAGCCTTGGAAATTCTTCATAATTTCATAATCCTCAATTCTTTTCATCTATTATTATTATTCTTAGAGAATTCTGACATTTCCAAGCGCGAATTCTCATAGAAATCTGATGAAAATTTCTGAAGACAAACTGTGTATAGAAATTAGTCGAATATTTTTCGCTTTTTTCAATTCACTCTTTTCAAATACCACAAGTAAACAGTGATGTAATTTTGAAAATTCAAGTTTTTCATTTTTTTTTTAAATTCGGTATTATGAGCACCTGGGGATTGAAAAAAAAATGCCCAAAATCTTCTTATAGATGGTAGAGAATGGAAAATTTTGAGGCATCATAAATAAAAATCGGCCGAATAGAATCCGAGTTATTGAAAAAAAAAACGAAAAAACAAGGAAAAAATCATATTTCCCTCAAGAGAACGAGGGTCAGGAGTTGACTCATTTGGCATGGACTACATGACATGGATTATTACCTCCTATGCTTTTTACGTTTTTTAAGTACACTTTTACAAATAAACATGTCAAATTCTTCCATGATGTGGGATAAGAAGATAAGTATGTGAGTTCGTATCTCAGAAATGTTGAAAACAAATAGAAGTGATGATTCGTAACACCAATAGATTTTCATGCATATCAATGCAATTGTATCAATGCAACTCTGAGCCTTCCAGCAATTCAATAGTCGAGTGGTAAACGACGAAACGAGTCAATCCAATTAATTTCCACAGCTCGGAATCGAAGGAAGATTTTTGAATTTCCTACTGATGCCAAAAATCTCACAACAAAAATTCCCCCATCTCCCTTCGATTCAGGGGTATTCACAAACAGCTAAGGTCCAAGTGGAATAATGACTCATCTCTTCTCCCCATTTAGCTATTCAATTGATATCGAATGGACTCAATAATAATCACGACATTGCTTCGAAGAATAATATCGATTCTTCAACTTGTTTTCTCATCCTCAACCATCATAATTGAAGAATCGAAAAATGATTCCACTGGCATCAGCTAAATTCACATTTAACGAAAGATTAAATAAAATAATACTGTGTTTTTGTTTTCTGAATACACGTGATCACCTCGTTATTAGGTATCGTTATCCGCTCGGGGAGTCCGTTGTATTGACTGTGTGCGTTAATATCACTCGACAAATGACGATAACGACCCGAAGAAAGAGTAACGCGTCCCAGGTATTCCGTACTCCCAATCGATAAAAAGGGACTTTTACCTTGATAACGATAATTGATGTCTCAAAACGATAATCGATCACTTTTAAGTATGTTAAGGCTTTTCTAAGGCACTTATGCTCGAAGATAGCGAAAATTGTGTAATCAACTATTTATCTTTTTTCAAAAATACTCAATTTCTTTCCCTCTGAAAGAATGCTGCTGAGTTTGTAGATTTTTAGGTATCTGTATCACTTTTGCAGCGATGTGGCTGGATGACGAAGTTCGTAATTCTGTTTGGCAACAGCTGTCAAAACATCCTGCATCATTTTACCAGTCTCTTTTACCATACTCAATAAATAACCAGCTTCGTTTTGGAGAAGTATATGAGGATGATCAAATTCCTGTAACAAACATGAGGATTAAGATTAATTGGATGAAATATCGGAGAGAATGCTTTCGATTCAGTAGCAGAATGATAAATGGGGATGAGTCAATTTCAACATTTTTTATTGCTTGTGCATTTATGTCACGGATGATTGACTTTAGGAGAATAAGTTTGAACACTTCTTTTGTTAAGTGATGGCATTCGTGATAGGGTTTTTTTCATTTTATTCAAATATCACTCATTAACCCCTCAAGGACGGACCCATGCAAAAACACATGATTCTGTTCAAAACTGGATAATTCCAAAACTGTCACAGATAATCCAATTCCGCCAACGCCATTCGAAAGCTGCATAGTGTAGCTTCAATTTTTAATGCATTTTATAATTTCTCATGCATCAGAATTTATCGAATCTCGAAAGATTCCATTTTTATTGAAATCATCCATGAGAAAAAAATCAACAGAAAAATTCAGTAGCGAAATGGTAAAAGGGTTTAAGGATATCCAAGTACTTTGGCCACTTTGTCTCCAGTGAAATGCTTTTCTACTTTGGTATTCGAACATCAGAGCTTTCATTTGAGCGCCATTTGACCCTGAGTTTCCGGACATTTTACAATAATTTTATTATTTAAAATTTATAGGTCTGAATTTGAATCTCGACGTTGAACCGTTGAAAAATATTTTGAAAATCTGAAAAAAATTTGAAAGTTTACTTTTGGAGGAAGATTGATGGAATAATTTAAAAAGTGCAATTTTTGAAAATTACGAGCATTGTCTATAAATACTTCATAAACCATCAATTATCCACCATAAAAATCATCTGTTGAGAATCGTAAGAAATTTATTCATATTCAGAATTGTACCAGAAATCGATTTCACGCCTAAAGTTTAAACAATTTCAATGATTTATTTATAAACAACGAATGTTTAAAAGAATAATAATTATGTGCAGAATGTAATTTCAAGATACTTGGATATCCTGAAGTCGATTTTGACTATTGACCAGTTTTTAATCAATATATTTTGAAATCTAAAGGAGATAGTAAAATTTTTGTCATGACCTTTTTTATGGCCCTCAATTCGCTCTACAAAAAAGATAATTACGAAAATTTTGTTATCTCTCTTAGATTCGGAAATATTCCTCGAAAACTAGTTAAGGGCTGAGTCGACTTGAACCGTTTGATCGGTTCCTTACTGAATTTAGTGGCTTCTCTACGAAATTCTATTCAGTTTATATTAGAAGTCTATAAGACCAACATATAAACTGTAATATTTATCTATCAGTAAATCTGAAAAATTGGAGTTGCACTATCTAATTCCTTCCTACGAAATTCCCTCTTCACAAACTACGAAAACTGCACAAATCAGTGCTGTCACCCTTACCCATTCCCCATACCGAATCGACACTGTTAAAAAAATTCGACTCAAAAGCCCATCAACTCACCACAACTTGTCCAGCATCCATCAACAAGATCCTATCACTATCCATCACAGTATTCAGCCGGTGAGCAATAGTCAACACAGTGCACTCAGCAAATTTGACCCTAATAGTCTTCTGAATGAGCTCATCAGTCCTCGGATCGACATTAGCAGTTGCCTCATCCAGCACCAAAATCCTGTTATTTTTAACAATAGCGCGAGCGAGACACACCAGCTGCCTCTGACCAACACTCAGATTGCTCCCCCCCTCATTAATATGCGCGGTCAGACCCATCTCCTTCAGCTCAACATCCTCAAGAGCCCCCCAGAGCAGACTATCCGGATACAAATCGAAAGGATCAAGATTCCTCCTCAAACTCCCCGAGAACAGGAACGGCTCCTGAGGAATTATACTGATCTTCGATCTGAGATCATGCAGCCCTATTTCCGAGGTCTCCACTCCATCAATAATGATATTCCCCTCAATATCCGCGAGCCTGAACAGTGCAGAAATGAGTGATGATTTTCCAGCGCCAGTTCTCCCCACAATCCCCACTTTCTCCTTCTTCCTAATTTCAAAATTAAGATTCTTAAGTACTGGAGGTTCCCCAGGTGCATAAGAAAGATAAACATTCTTAAACTGAATCGTCCCCTCCTCCGGCCAACTCTCCCTCGGCTTCTTGTCAGGAGCACTCTCCAAGGCAGGTTCACTCTCTAAATTCGTGTACTCCAAGACCCTCTCCACAGAAGTCATCTGATTCTCCAGCTCAGCGCTCTGCCTCATCCCCCACTGGAACATTCCAGTGAGCCCAATGCTCTGGGTAATCGCCAGCCCTACATTCCCCCCCTCAGTGTTATCAGCGCTGTCAGGCAGTATCAGAAAGCTCAACGTCACCAGTGCTATGTAAACCAGACAAAAGATGTCCAGCCAAAATCCAAAAGCCCTGGACGAAGCGATGAACATGTACCAAGCAGAGGAGTGGAGATCCTGATGCTGATCGAACTCCTTCGTGAGAACAGTCTCAGCTTCAAAGGCTCTGATGGTTGCCAGCCCCTGGAGAGTCGCATTCAGATGACTGAAGACAGGGGACCTGGTGATTCCCTCGAGTCTCTTGATACTTCTGCTGGTGGCCAAGTAGATAACCCTCAAGAAATAGAAGAGAACTCCGATTACCACAGTGGGCACCATCAGCCAGGGATTGGCCACGCCAACAACCACGACTATTCCAAGAAGAGCCAGTCCAATCTGGACACAATCGATCAAGGCCATAGGCAGCAATTCATCAATTGCTCCCATGTCCTTGGAGAATCGATTCAAAACCCTTCCCGAGGTGTTCGTATTGAAGAATCTCATCGTCGCTCTGCTAATACTCCTGAACATTTTGTCATGCAGCTTCTGCGAGGCCTTCATGCAGTACTCGAAGAACGCAAACGATCTAATCAAAGTGATTGTTATCGTCGCGACAGTCAGCCCCGAGAAGATGTAGACGCAGGTGTCCCTCTCGAAAATCCTCGCATAGCCAGTCGAGTCGGTGGAATTCGTAGCTGCTTCGTTTTTCAAGATAGTGGCATTCTTGCTTTTGTAGCCCTGATCCTCCTCCTCAAGGTTCACCCAGAACGCGATGAAGTAATCCCCACCACTGGCAGCAAGTTGTGCCCCAGCGCAGAGGATGAATATTATCATCGCTATGCACCAGTTTCCCCCAGCTGTGAAGTAGGATCCGTAAATGTGTCCTCCAATGCTGCCCTTTGTCCTCATCTCAGCTATTTCATCGGGCTCCGCTTGAACCTTAGAGTTGTCATTCGTCATTGTTGACGAGACTGAGGTGACACTGGTGCGTCTGGAGTTGCTTCTGCTCACAGTTGCTGACGCACTCTCCTCGGCCTGAGGCGCTGTACTCTCCAGCAATCTACCAAAGTCCACCCCTCGAACAGCCAATTCATCGTAAGTACCCTCAGCCTCGATCCCCCCATCCCTCATCACGTAGATCTTCTCGACATTCCTCAGAAATTGAATCTGGTGCGTCACCAGAATTCTCGTTTTTCCTCGCAAATACTTCTCGATGCACTCTTCAAACATGTGTTTGCCCACGTGAGCGTCGACAGCACTCAGGGGATCGTCGAAGAGGTAGATGGGGGCCTCAGAGTAGACAGCCCTAGCCAGGTTGATCCTGGCTCGTTGACCCCCCGACAAACTGATCCCTCTTTCCCCCACGATTGTCTTGTCACCGTAGGGAAGCAGTGAAAAGTCTCTCTTCAACTGGCAAACCTTGACAACTTGGTCGTACCTCTTCGGCTCCATCTTCCTACCAAAGAGGATGTTCGTCCTGACGGAGCCTGCGAACAGCCAGGGCTCCTGACTGGCGTAAGCAATGTTCCCATGGACGTCGATCGTCCCTTTGGAGATCTTCAACTCCTTCAGAATGACGTTCAGGAGAGAGGACTTGCCAGCACCCACTTGGCCAACTACAGCGACCAATCTCCCTGGCTGGATATTCATGTCTATGTTGGTTAACGTGTCCTCGTGTTCACTGCCTGACCATTTTGCAGACACATTCTGCAGGACTATCGACCCCATCTTCTCACCATCCAACTTTGTGTCGGCACTTCCATTAGCTTGCTTAGCCTGCGTGTAAGTTTCCCCGCTGTCTTTATCGGTTTCAGTCTTGGACGAGTAGATCTCGTCGTACATGAGGAACTCCTGGAGACGTCTTATGGAGACAGCAGCCTCAGCCATCTGCGTGATCCCCTGCGGGAAGAATACTGTCATTGTTTGTCTCAGTATGTTGTAGTATGCGGTGATCATGAAGATCTTCTCGGCGTTGATCTGATTGTCGGGGCTCAGGAGGATGTACGAGAGGATCGTGAGGAAGAGTGATGATCTCGTCGTGAACATGATGAAAGATATGACCACTCCCCTGATGTACGAGGTTGCGCGGATGACCTTGATCTCTCGTTTCCTGGCGTTTTCGATGAGGGCACTGAAGGGGTGCTCCCACGTGTACATCTTTATGGCTTGAATTCCGGAGATAATTTCGTTGGTGAGACGAACACGCTCGTCGGTTCTGATGGCAGTGCGGAGGCGTAGAACTGATGACTTTTTTCCAAGCCAGCCCTGGAGAGGAATGAACATCAGGAGGGAGGCTACACCGATCACTGCTGAGATGTTGACCTCTTGGTACATGAAGTACGTGATTATGGCGGTCTCTAGGGGGCCTATCCACAGGTAGTGCAGGAAGATTATTGCCACGTCGAACCTGTTGACGTCGTTGGAGAGGAGATTGACTGCTTGTCCCACTGTCGTCTCTCCCAGTGCTGTTCTTGAGAGCTTCAGGGCTTTCCTGTAGATCAGAGAGCAACAGGCCACTCGCATCTTCATCCCCATGTGCAGGATCGCCATCATGTAGGGGTGAACTACGAAAATGTTCACTGCTGAGCAGAGAATCACTCCACCTGCGTAGAGGTAGGCCTCTGTTTTCGTTACGGTGTCGGTGGAGTAGTACCTGAGGAGCCTACCCAGGGCGAGAGGCTGGAGGACCCTGTGGGTTTTAGCATTTTGTTAAAATATTTACTGAGTGGGGGGAGGGTGAAGGTCTAGGGGTTTTCTAGGATGGAGGTAGAGATGCAAATGCGCCACGTGACGAGGCGTTTATGACGGATATCATTCCCCGCCTCTATGACTGTCACGATTTGTCCAAAAATATGAGCATCATTTTTTTTTATCTATGTGAGGTATTCCGTGCCAAATGAGTCAACGGCTGATCACGCACGAAAAAATTTAAGAAAAGCCTAGCGGATTCGTTAGAAAATTCGATTGGATTTCTAGTGAATTTTCTATTAGTTTTTGGCCGATTTTATTGAAATGTTCAATAGAAAAAGTCAATAAAACTCGATTTTTCTATATAACTTTTTTTTTTTCAATTATAAAACTGAAAAATCAATTATTTGAAATAATAATAATTGTTTTCAGTAAAATGTAATGATAGTTTTTTCTTTCTCTTCAGATATTTTCCAGATTAATTTTCAAGAGGGTGAGGGTCAGGCGTTGACTCATTTGACATGGAATACCTCCTATAGATGGAACTTTATTTTTTCTTTATAAATTTTTATTTGAATTCATTTCGTATCAGCCTAATGTCCACTTTGAAACGGAAATCATGATCATTTTTCATCTACATAGATGAAACTATTTTTTTTATTTATGACCCTCACGAGACTGTCATTTTTTGGTCATATGACGCTATCTAAAAAATGTCGGTCATTTTGCATTTCTAGATGGAGTGGATTGGTGATATTCAAGGGTGAAGCGGTAAGACGGAGTCGAAAAACAATTTCAAGGCAACACTAATGAAAAATTTAAATTCAAAATTCAGATAAAAAGGTTACATTCAAAAGGTGTTAAGCATAAATTACGTTTAGTAAACCGTAAATTACGCTCAGCAAAACGTAATTTGCGTTTAGATTTTTCTTTGTAGAAAGTGAGAAGCGTGGATCCCTAAAAATTAGAGTTATAGGGTAAACGGGTCAATTTCTGGACGATTTCAACGTGCATTGTATATTCCATAAATAAAATAAAAATTGTACTCATTACTTCACCTTCCAATAATATTACTTGTGTATAATCATGTGATCAATTATTTTTTCTACTGATCGACATTTAATAAATAAATAAAAAATGGCCCAGTTGTCCAGAAATTAGGGGTTTCGGCTGCAATTAATTATTCTTCGTTTTGTTATTTTCACTTCAAATAATTTTTCTCGGCTAATTAAAGCATTCTTGTATGGAAGCCATCACATCCCCATTTAAATGATTGTTTTATTTCAGATCCTACTCTGAAACTCGAATTTCCATTAACCGTCCAGCAATTGGCCATTCTAGCCCTAAAAACCAAAACTTTTTTTCCTGCGTGAAGAGCGAGAAAAATGTTGACTAAGAGTTAACTTAGAGTTGACTTAGAGTTTGTGTCCCTTCAATTCCGAAATATACAACAAAAATGTGAGTCTGAAACAAATTTCTTCATCTTGTTCTGCCATTTCTGATTTTTTACACTCCAATAATTAGTGAATTATCTCCATTATGCCTGAATTAGGAGAAAATTATTAACAGATTTTTTTAAGATTCTTTGAGCTGCAAGAATGAGTTCAAATGTTTCAATGAAACCACTCATTACCAAAATAGTTTATCACCTAAAAAAAACATCATTTATAGATAACATTTGATTACTTCACTGACGAATTAGCTTCTTATCAGAGTTTTATCACTACACTGGAATTTTTATTAATAAGTAGAGAAAACACTCATTACGAGAAACCTTCGTTATTTGAATTGAGCATTGTTTTGATTCCAAAATTTTATTAATAAGTAGAGAAAACACTCATTACGGGAAACCTTCGTTATTTGAATTGAGCATTGTTTTGATTCCAAAATTTTAACGAGCTAACGGATTTGTCAACGCGTTATCTCGTTAACGGGTCAATTGAGGAGACATTATCAAGATCTTGAAAATTTCCTGAGCTACAGAAGAGCTAGAAAGCAATAAGAATGACTTGACATTTTTCAATAGAATAACTCATTGCCGAATGAATTCATCATTGAAAAAATGTCATGTGCAGATAATGTGTTTCCGATTCACCAATGAATCAACTTATCAGAGTTTTTATCCCTCAATTGAAATATTTATTACGGGGGATACGTCGGTGAAATTTAAGTCTTCACTGGGCCTTGGGAACAATTGAAGAGTTCGTGATATCTGACGGACTATGGAAATAACTAGGGAAAATCGAGGACCCGATCGATTTTGCCCCGTATGACCCCGAAAAACTTCATTTTTCCTGTTTTTACCTTCAAAATGCTCCTTACCCCATAGTTTCACGCACGAAAAAATTTAATAGAAGAACCTATCGAATTCGTTTGAAAATTCTATTGAATTTCTATTAAACTTTCTATTAGTTTTTTGGCTGATTCTATTGACATGTTCAATAGAAAACATTCAATAGAAAAAGTCAACAGAATTCGATTTTTCTATATAACTTATTCTTTTCATATATTTTCTATAGAATTTGCTCGACTCAAATTTTCCAAGTTTTTTTCATTTTATTTTTTTTTCTTCTCATCAAGAAAATCAAACGAAAAAACTTGGAAAATTTGAGCCGAGGGAATTCTATAGAAAATATCTCAATGGATTAAGTTATATAGAAAAATTGAATTCTATTGACTTTTTCTACTGAATATTTTCTATTGAACATTTCAATAGCATCGGCCAAAAACTAATAGAACAGTTCAATAGAAATTCAATAGAATTTTCTAACGAATTCGATAGGTCTTTCTATTAAATTTTGTCGTCCGTGTTAGCGTTGCCGAATTCACTCTACACTGCCCGGGCGCATTGAGCGAGTTTCCGGCAACGTCGCGTCATGGGGAATTTCATTTAACACGAGAAAAAATAATTCATCTGTCGGAAATAATTTGTTTTCTTTACGAATTTTGGGAAATATGTTATTCTAAAAGCTACTATCATTTTTTAGACACTTCAATTGACAAAGTCAAATTTTTTTAAAAATTTCCGGTTAGCCAGTCAATTGTCATTTTAAAAAAATGACGCGTGGAGGGGTTTACCCCATAGGGTGACCAATCTAGGGTTAAATGTTCGTTACACTCGAAACAATAAAGTTAAGCATCCGAATTAATCATGAATAAATGAATTTTGAATTTCATAAATTTTCTTTTGAGCCCGCCTTTTCGCTTCAACCTGCCATTTTTTTCCTCATTAAAATTAGATTACGCATGATTACAACATTCAATTACTAAAAACAATAAATTTTTAGTCCCACTCTAGAGACGCGAAAAATGTATGAAATTCAAAATTCATTTATTCATGATCTATTGCGAATAAAGTAAAACAGATGCTTAACTTTATTCTTTGGAGTGTAACGAACATTAAAAAAAAAAGCTAAAATCGTATGAAAATTACGGCGCAAGGAGCATTTTGAAGGTAAAAATAGGAAAAAAATGAAGTTTTTCAACGGGTCCGCGATTTACCCTAGTTATTCTCATATTCCGTCATCTATCGCAAACTGTTCAATGGGTCCCAAGGCCCAGTGAAATTTTCAAATTTCACGAACTAATCTACTTAGCGATCTATTATTGCTACAAGTAACGATTGGTGAGACCACAAAATTCCAAGAAGCTATTAACTGCAGTGATCCACGGGAACGAGCCGAATTCAATTCAATTCAATTCAATATCAATAACAACAGAAATCTTTATTTCATTCTAACACTTCACTACTGACACTTGACATTCCATTGATAGTAGAAGAATCTCAATTAGAGGTCAACTGAGGAGAAATTATCTCGATACTTTTTCTTCGGAAGATTTTCTGAGCTACAAGAATGACTCGACATTTTCGGTGAAATCACTCTTTGCTAAAATGATTTATCACCTAAGAATGTCATTTATGTATAGTGCTTTGCCACTTTATCAATGAATTGACTTCTTATGAGAGTTTTTCTCATTCAATTGAAATGGTTATTAATAAGACAAAATACTTATTATGGGAAACTATTACTGTTAGAAGTAAGCAAGGTTGGGCGTGTAAATTACGTTGGTAGATTACACAGTTCTTTACCGACGTAATTTACGTAAATTACCTCGCCGGGTTTTTTAACATTTTTTACATTACTTCGAAAAGCTTGCAATTTTCGATTACTAGAATGCTTTATTTTATTCCGACTGACGAAGACTCATAAATATCATAAAAAATAGTATACTATGTCCCGAGGACAGATAAACCGCGAATTTTAACTTCATTTTGTCCGGTTAGAATTCGGATCTCAGTACTTCGGGCATAAAATATCATTTTATGTCTCTAGAACCGTTAAACCGCGATTCTAACATCGATTCCCTCGGTTAAATCGCGGATTCCGGGCTCAGAGACATAAAACATTGTACGTCACGCGGCGATAAAATAATTCTCTGACTCATGTAATTAAAATCCTCACTTTCGGCTCGGATTATAAAGCCACATTGGTCAGAAAATACTATCATCGCCTGGTGACATAATGTACTATTACATCCCGTGATACGATTTACGGCATTCTTAGAAACTCAAAAACATGGGCCTCATACTTCATAAAGAGTAAAGTTCACGAAGATCAAACGTTACAAAAGACCAAAGTCACAAGTCATCTCCATTGTGAGAAAGTCAATCGCATTAATTATTGAATTTTATTGGATTTTCCATTTTACTATTTGGAACCCCGGAAAAGCCAAGTTGGACCTGAATAGAAGTATTTTGTTCTGAAGAGGTAAAAAAAGCTACCAAAGACAACAGCATTAGTTTTGTCTTTTAAGAATGCCTAATGAAACAAGTTCATGGCAAGACAATAGATGATGACGCGAAAAATTGAATAGAAGATCAATAAATAATGAGATTGATCCTTGTAAAATTCATCCCTTACGAGGTGTGCCCCTCGAGACGTATGATTCTGGCGAGATATTATGAACCACGTGACTTTTATCACCCTCGCGAGGTATCATTTTCGTGAAGCTTCACGGTTCACAATAAAAAGTAACTTCGGCTGGTTTTTTACATTTTTTACATTTATTACGTAAATTACGGGTTTTTTACAATGTCATGTAAAAAACTGTGGTTATCGACAGATGCCCAAACCGGGAAGTAAGCATTGATATAAAGGAATTCCCAAAATGTTATTTGGATAACGGGTGATTGAGGAGAAAATATTAACACTTTTTTTCAAGGTCTTCAGAGCTGCAAGATTTAATTTAAAAAAAACTACCAAAATAATTTATCACCTAAAAAACGTTATGTATCGATAATGTTTTACCACTTCACCAAGGAATTAGCTTTATATGAGAGTTTTTATCACTCCACTGCAGTTTCTATTAATATCCAAACAAAACACTAATTATGAGGACTACTATTGTTAGAATTGAGCAGTTGTGTAATCCCAAAACTCTAAGAGGCTCATAATCAACTACATTGATCTAAGGGAATTCCCAAAATAATATCTTGATAATGAGTTAATTGAGGAGAGAATTTCAACACTTTTTTCAAAGCTTTCCGAGCTACAAGAATGTTCTAATTTTGAAAAAAAACTCTACCAAAATAATCTATCACCTAAAAAACTTCATGTATCAATAATGTTTTACCACTTCACCAAAGAATTAGCTTTGTATGGGTTTTCTTATCACTCTACTGCAATTTTTGTTAATAACCAAACATAACATTAATAGGCCTTTTCATTCTGGAAATGTAGGAGAAAGATTTATTCCGTTCATCGAACTCAAAAATTTCCAGTAAAATCATGAAAAATTCTGATAAATATTGACACTTAAGGCCCGGATGGATTATCTTTCTAACGTTATCTCGATTGTTTTTCAATCTTCATAATCTAAAATATATCACAATTTCTACTGGATTTAACATCACGCAGGTGTCCCTAAAAATTGTGATTGCACAATCAAAAAAAAGAGAAAAAAAACTGAACATTTTCAAAGAGCATTTTTAATAAAGATTAGGAAATAAGTCCGACAGAAACGAAATTGTAAATGGATAATTTATTATGGCAAGAAACAATCTGACAGGCATTGGTTAATGAGACAAATGACGACTGAACAGCCATCAGATACTGGGAATTATTAATTCACAGAATTCTTCAAAAAAGCTGTTTGAAAAAGTTCTGTTTTTTTCAACGTTTTTTTGATTGTACAAGCATAATTTTTCAAGACTCCAGAGCTATGTAAAACTGAGTAGCAATTGAAGAACATTTCAGATTATCAAAATAAAAAAAAACAACCAAGATCACGTTCGAAAGATAATAATACACGTGGGCCTTAATGTTGAAAAAAAAACTCTACCAAAATAATTTATCACCTAAAAAACTTCATGTATCAATAATGATTTACCACTTCACCAAGGAGTTAGCTTTCTAGATGATTTTTTATCACTCAAAAACAAAACACTAATTATGAGGAACTACTATTGTTAGAATTGAGCAGTGGTGTAATCACAAAATTCTAAGAAGCTCATAACCAGCTACATTAATGTAAGGGAACTCCCAAAATATTATCTTGATATCGGGTTAATTAAGGAGAAAATTTCAGCACTTTTTTTCAAGGTTTTTCGAGCTGCAAGAATGATTCAATTTAAAAAAAAACTCTTTACCGAAATAATTTATCATTTAAAAAACCTCATGTATCGATAATGTTTTACCACTTCACAGAGGAATTAACTTTGTATCAGAGTTTTTATCACTCAACTGCAATTTTTATTAATAATCAAACGAAACATTAATAAGACCTTTTCATCTTGGAATTCTAGGGGATCTATTTATCCCTTTCATCGAACTGAAAAATCTCTAGTAAAATAATGAAAAGATCTGATAAATATTGACATTTAAAGTGATATGTATTTAAGGTCCGGGTGTACTATATTTCGAATGTTATCTCGATGTTTTTTTTATCTTTCGTCATCTGAAATGGGCAATTAACTCCTACATCATGCAGAAGTTTTGAAAAATTATAAATGAATAATCAAACAAAAGTAGAAAAAATCCTTAATTTTTTCAAAAAGCATTTTTAATTTATATTCAGAATAAGCTGAATAACAAGAAATTGAAAAATGTATCTGATTTACGGTGACAAATGGCGGCCTGTCACCCAATATCATGCAGGGGGAAGACTGATTTCGTAAATCTTTTCCCACACTGCACAGAGACATTTATTACGGAAAAGGCTCTTTGAAAAAAGTTGTAATATTCTGGAGAATTTTGTAATCACACTTTTGTCACATAAAAATGGCAGATGACTACATATCACTGTTTTGAAAATTGAGATACCTAGCTGTCACTTCCCATGAGGAGTTAGCGTTTTGTTATCCACCATGGAAAATAACAGCTAATAGATAATTTGCCACAACGAATCAGATATTTGTAATTTCCACTTTTTTCAACTCATTCTGAATCTCAATTAAAAGCGTTCTTTGAAAGAGTTCAAAATTTTTTCTTTTTTTTTTATCACTCTATCATAATTTTTGGGAATTTCTACATGATGTACCACTCAATTGACAATTTTGGATTACGAAAGATGAAAAAAAATCCAGATAACATTCGAAAGATGGTACAACCGGGCCTTAAGCCCGCAAAAATAAGGATTTATATGCAAATTTGGTAAAAGTGTCCGAAACTCCTAGGGGAATTAACATGAGAAAAAGTGACGGAAAATGTCGTGACTCTCAGGATGAAAAGGTCTATTGTGAGTAAATATTATTGTTAGAATTGAGCAGTGATGTAATCACAAAATTCTAAGAGGTTCATAACCAACTACACTGATCTAAGGGAATTAACGAAGCTGATCACTCTCAATGGGACTTAACGATGATTTTATCTCTTCACTTCTCCTGCTATGGGCTTCACCAAGTATCTGGGGCGCGTGAATCGGCACATAGGGGGCTTTCAAGGGTCGATAGTAACTGATGAGCATACCGAGGAAAATCGGTTGCATCAATCTGCATTGTGAGGACGTAAAATGCAATTTACTCAATAATTAAACCAGTAGATTTCCTCGTTCATGATTTTCTTGCTCAGTCTTTTCAAAGGAAACGTGACTCACCTGAGGACTATTTCCATAATCGCCAAGGCAACGCCATAGAGTGCAACTTTCAGTCCAAATACTTTAATCAACGCACGGTTTAAACTCGGTGTTTGCTTCTTCCCAGTCGGTCTCCCTGCTTTTTGCTTTGCTTTCTCCTGTTGTTGATTGAAACGGTGCAATTCTTCCTCCCATGCTGCTGATATTTTATCACCCAGGTAACTACTTTTGTGCTCCTTCAGTGGTTGTGTGAGGTCATCTATCTCAAGTTCTCGTTTGTAACCCACGTAGAATGTTTTCAATATCCACCTGAATAAATACATAAATTTTGAAAAAATGCGAGAAATTTTCAGCCGAAAATGATTCATTATTCGTATCATGATTTTTTCCTTGTAGTCTCCAATAATTCGATGTGTTTAATTATCTTAAAGACAAGTGACTGAAGGAAAACGTCAGAACACTCATTCCATTAGGAAATTGTTGAGCAGGAAAAATGCCTTGAAATTGAAAATTCTTCTGAAATCACATCTTATGAAGATAAATTCAAAATTATAAAATAAATAAGAATGTAAACATTAGATCTGTTAAAATTTACTCAGCTACTGTGTCATCTAATAGTTCAAATAAAAAACCAGACATTGGTAATGTCTAGGTGAGGGTGGGGTAAAATGGACACTTTAGACTTTTTAAAAATTATTTATAACTCAGAAACAAATTTATCAATTGAGCTCAGTTTAGGCTCGGTACAAAGGGAAAGAGTTGTTCTTTGTATTGAAAAAAAAATTATTAAATTTTATCAAAATTTCAACCCCTCGTTAACATTTTTTAAAAAGTCAAAAGTGTCCGTTTTACCCCAGTCTCCCCCATTTACCCAGAATCAATCAGAACTGCAATTGTGTTTGCAATAAACTTACCCAAACGTAAGAGCGCTCAATGGATTAGCCTTCTCCCTCGGATTTCGTCTCTTCTCAACGGCGTCCTTTCCATCCATGATTCAATCGGAATAACCGTTATTCCAATGATCGAAAGCACACGGTGATAACAATGTACATCTGCCAATGAAGAGAGAAAAATTGTCTCTGAGTGTGATATACGCACAGCTTAAATTTTTTTATTGAAACGAGCGCGGCGAATGGAACTGTCGACAATGTTCCCCGATCGATTAAATTTTATAGTAATGACCGGTGATAGTTCAGTGGTCTGTTCGCCGGCACGTGACATACGGATTTATTAATACGTGTCGGAGAGGTTGACGGAGACCCGGACTAAGTGACTGATGGACGATGACTACTGCTGAACACCAGACAATAATGTTAACGCGGCGACATATCTGTCTGATATCCAAGGGTAGATATAAATCTGGTGAAAGAAACTCTATCGATCGATATATACAAAGTCATCTATCTGGGAATACAGCGGAATAATTCGAGGAATGGAAAAACATGGGGAGGAAAAAATTTAGTTGGTCATTGGGCCTCAATGGCAATTAATACTCGAACAGTGAGGCTTTCAAGTGGTTTGTAAACTTGCTCTATTTTAGAAATCTGACAAATAAACTACTCCAGCGGGTCACATCGAGTCTAGTCTCTCAAGGTAATGATGAAAAAATCAATGATATGATGAGGGTTATTAACTATTCGGAAATTGAACGAGTAGCTTCGTGTTTAAAGTCCGTTGACATGAGTGAAAAACTTCAACAGCAAAACCTGACGCATTTATTAGGAAATTCTGTTGGAATTTTATCAAAAATTAAAGATTTTTGCCCTAAGTTTTCCAAATACAAATATTTCATAAAAAACAATTGCAACTCTGTCTCTACACGCACAAAAAAATTTAATAGAAAAACCTATCGAATTCGTTAGGAAATTCTATTAAATTTCTATCAACTTTCTATTAGTTTTTGGCTGATTCTATTAACATGTTCAATAGAAAACATTCAATAAAAAAAGTCAACAGAATTCGAATTTTCTATATAACTTATTCTTTTCATATATTTTCTATAGAATTTGCTCGACTAAAATTTTTTAAGTTTTTTTCATTTTATTTTTCTTTTCTTCTCATCAAGAAAATCAAATGAAAAGACTGAAAATTTGAGCCGAGGAAATTCTATAGAAAATATCTCAATAGAATAAGTTATACAGAAAAATTGATTTCTGTTGACTTGTTCTACTGAATATTTTCTATTGAACATTTTAACAGAATCGGCAAAAAACTAATAGAACAGTTCAATAGAAATTCAATAGAATTTTCTAACGAATTCGATAGGTTTTTCTATTAATTTTTTCCGTCCGTGTATCTTAGCTAGCCCCAAAAGTCAATTTAGTCTTTAGTTGAGTTTTCCAGAAATATTTCTGAATTTAAGGGAGATAGCGAAATTTTCGTAATAACCTTTTTTGTAGAGCAAATTAAATGCTACTAAAAAGGTTATAAGAAAAATTTTGCTATCTCCCTTAGATTTCGGGATATTCATTGAAAACTGGCTAATAGAAAAAATCGACTTAAACCGTTTGATCACTTCGCTACTGAAATATTTTACTCAAAAATATTTCATATAGATTTTTGAGGCTAGCTAAATTAGAAAGAGAGTTGAGAGAATACTGTGAAAAGAAATTTCAAAAGTCTAGGAATAGAACAATCGCTTAAATTGTGCTACTGTTATATTATCATTAGTTATTATGCATTATTGATAAAAAAAACATAAATTATTGGAGTGTTATTGGAGATATTTTTCGATGGCTTGTGTAAATGTAAAACCGTAATAGTAGCATCAAGGAAATGAAGTATTATATTCTATTTCATATGGTGCATAAGGAAAATCGCTCAGTATAAATTCGTTAATTTTTTTTTCACTGCATTTATTTCTTTTCCTCTCTTAAAAAATTCAAGCAAGAAAACTTTGAAAATTTAAGCGGAGGAATTCCTGTAGAAACAATCTAAACGAAATTAAAATTTTAAAAATCTCAACTGAATAAGTTGCGTAGTAAGACAAAATCTATTACATTTTTTAATAAATTTTTTTTTCTTAAATGTTTCGGTGGAAAACAAACAGAATTTACAATAAAATTTATCTCAATGAACTGAGTGTTCTTAAAATAATGGAAACATCATGGAATCATAAAAATTCTAGCGATGAGGTAGAATGAAGGGGGACTGATAATTTAGATTAATCAATTTAGATTAATTAATTAATTTAGATTTTATGCAGTAAAAGTCGTAAACCGTAACTAAATAAGTTAATTATTTATAGCTCATTAAATATTGACTGGGGAACATACGCATTTATTTTCTATTCTTTATCTGAATCTACAAGTTGCAATAATCTCGAAAACAATTTTTATAGCTCTCAGAGTGGCATTTTTCAATGAGAGATCGTTGGTTGAAAAATGAACTTTTTTGAGCCTCAATGTCCATACGCCAGGAGTATATTTGTATGCATTGAGATTTCATTGCATTGAAATCTCAATGTACATTGAGATTTGACCATTGGAATTTATGTTGTCGAGATCGCCGATTACAAATATGATAACCGTTTTTGCCAAATCATGCACTGCCTCTTTATTATAACAATTTAATTGTTTAAACCTCAAGATCACAGAAACTGAATGATTTTCGTGAAAGAAAGTTTTGGTTTTAGCAGAGATAATTTTTTTTTCAGTTTTCAATATGTTGTCGACGGGAATTTTCCGTTCTTTCGATTGGGCATTGACATAATTAGCTCACTCCAACAGAAATGCCGTAAAATTGGAAAAAAAATTAGACATTGTGCTTTGTATCCCCTTCTCCCACTTAGATTGCAATTTTTTTTCGTTTCTTACTCCAAGTAAGTGTTTTTACGAAACATATTAGAAAAACAGTGTGGGTTCTCACTCCGTTCTATCCAAAAATAACTTTTGCCAAGTTTTGATTTTGATTTTCTTTTCAATGTTTGTATTTTTTACTTCAAAATTGCAATTTGCATTTTCCAGAAATATTGAATTTTGAAATAAAAAAATAAAAACACGAAAAATTATCTTAATTCTAGAAATAAAAACCAAGAAAAAAAAATTTTGTGGATAAAACGGAGTGAGAACCTACTCTGATTTTGTAATATGTTTTGTGAAATGAATTACAATTCCCATTTTTCCATTTTTTTGGAAATTTTAAGCCATTTCTGATAGAATAAGCTAATTGAAATCACGCTCAGTCGAAACAGCAGGAAATTTCTGGCAGAAATACGTGGTGAAAATTAAAAAAGAAAATTATCTCTGCACAAACAAAAAAAATCGTTAAAAAATAAAAAAATATCAATTATCGTAGCGAGAGCAACAAGACTAAAAAAAGGAAAAACAATGGTCTATTTAGTGATAAAGAAAACAATATAAGAAGTTCCAAGAAAAACAACATTTTGAAGGTACAAAACCATACCAATAATTAATATAAACATTCACATTTTCGGGCAGCAATTGTAGCAATCGTATTAGAGCAAGTTCATCATTTGGATCTTGTTAGACACTGCAGTATCTTGGTGATATTGTAATGTTTTAAGACGTTAACGTTAAAAGACGTTCTTTATTGGAAAATTTATCCAACAACGAAATTTGTGAAAATTTGTAAGATTTTCTCCTAAAATCACTCGTGTAATTTAAATTAAACTAAATTATCATTTACAAAAACAATGTGGTAAAACCGTTAAACATTACAGAACATGTCAACCACTCATCTTGTTAAATATTGAATGAGCTTGATAACAATCGATTTTATATTTTCCTCTAAAATCACTCGTTTCCGGCATGAATTACCAATTAACAAAAATGTGAGAATGGAATTATATAGTACGTTTTACGACTTTGCTACTGAATTATACAACAACCATTATTGTATTCACAGCAGTTATACTGAATCGTAAAATGTGACAGAACCAGTAGATAATTTGTACCTCCTTAAATTCCTTAATGACTTTGATAACAATCGATTTTAGAGAATAATATCAAGAGACTTTCTTTAGTTGATAGACATTCTTTCTTACAATGTTGAAGAATTTCAAGTGAAAAATCCTGAATAGAATAGAATTTTATTTCATTGGTGCTACAATTACTGTTTTACACCTAAAAATCCTGAATATTTTAACGACAAACTAATTTCCATGAAAATTTTCCACATGTTAAAACTGATAGATCAATTAATTTCCCAAAAATTGCATGAATTTGTGATTTTCAGGTTGACAAATAAGGAAAATTATTGAAGATTGTAAAAATGTAGATAACTATTGTTCGGAATTTCCAATCTATTGAAAAGTCAATTGAATGATAAGGATAATGTGCACGAACTGACAGCCATCGACTACTGTGAGAAATGACGTTATAACAACCACTAGATACATCAAATTATTAATTTCGAATTCCCTCCCTATTGGGTTTACTTCCAAATATTATTTAAAAACGCTCTTTGAAAATGTTCTGTTTTTTTTTTCGACGCTTTCTTGATTGTACAATCATAATTTTTGGAGACTCCAGGACGAGGGGCTAGTCACTTAGGAAATCACTGGACCACTCGACTAAATTTGAGTAGAATTGAACTTAAATTTAAATTCAAGTACAATTTAGTAGCGAAGTGGTAAAAGGGTTTAAGTCGACTTATCTCCCAGTTGAGTTTTTGAGGAATATTTCCGAACCTAAGGGAGATAGCGAAATTTTCGTAATTACATTTGCCGTAGCACTCAATCGACTCCACAAAAAAGGTTATAACAGAAATTTTGCTATCTCCCTTAGATTTCAAGATATTGATTGAAAGCTGGCTTATAGTAAAAATTGGCTTATATCGTTCTACCACTTCGCTACTGAATTTAAGTTCGATTGTACTTAAATTTAAGTTTCAATACTTATGTATAGAAAAGAGGATTTCTCGCCTAGCAGAGATCCCGCAGTTCAATTAGAGCCGCTTCGTGTGATTAAACGTTTTAGACTCGATTGTTCGCTCTTATTTAATGTGTGAAAAAATGCTAAACAAAAATCAAAACATCGATTTTGATCGGAAACATTTTGAATTTATCAGAAATGACTGTCATTTTGTTCCCTCACTTGTTTAAATCAAATTAAAGACTGATGTTATCTATATGATCTTGAAACGTTGACAGAATGGTATTAGAAAACTTTTTTTGAAGAAACTTCCTCTTTTCGAAAATTTTTAGAATTCGAAATTTGCAAAAATTATTATGAAAATCGAACCGACGGATATATAATCTTTCGACTCCGATAGGGTGATACTGATAAAATTATTTCAAGCTATGACACAAGATTTTTGCAAAAAAAACCAAACGATAAAAAACAAAACGATGCTTATTACGATTTTTATTGAAGTTCCGGTCGACTTCGTCAGGAAAACTTGGTTCAACTTGGGAAAGCGAACTTTTGGTTAATTGAACTTTTGTCAAATTAAACCTCCGCACGGAGAAAAATGTTCAGTAAAAATTACGGAACTCACAATTCACTCACCGATTACGGAATCGACTCAGACAATTTAAGTGACGGTATCGTAATTTTTCACAGGAGATTCGAATTAAAATTACGGGCCGCTCCGAAAAAATTCCGTGACAGTTCTGTAAAATTTCGTACAACCACATTTCGCTCCGGAATTACGGAAAAGATACGTAATTTTTACTGAATATTTCTCTCTGTGCGTCATAAAACCTTTCGGTTGTCTGGTCTTTTATAAGAATACAGGTAAAACCTGTTTGTGTTTGGAATTTCAGAGTGTAGTTGTGTTATTTATTTCCTCGTGCATATGAATTTCCGTCAAGTCATTTGTAATCAAGACTTCATGCTGTTTATTCTGGATACGATGTTTTTCATTGTGGTTCGTTCGGTTTTCGTTCAAATTCAAGTTTCCAAATTTTGGTATCAGGGCAACTAAATATAATTCAAAAATTCCGAATATGCGATTTTTAGAAGGTGTCTGTATTCATGTATTTATGTATGTGTATAGATTATTTCAATTTTTTTGGCAACTTTCTTTACACGTTCAAACTTTAAAAGTTTTTGTTGGAATTCATGCCTGAATACAAAAATTAATTTCTTAGTTTAGTTAAACATTTTCTCTTTTCCACCCAAACACTCAGGGTGACATTTATGGCTTTTCTTAGAAAATAGAGACGTGAAGAAAAACAGTCCTCATGGTGAGTCACAAAGGAGAGGCTGAAGAAAATTGAAACAAGGGCCTTTTGTCAAATGGGTCCAGAGAGTGAAAACTCTCATGACTTTTAGTTAGTCGTCCTAGAGACTTCGTTGGAGAAAGATATACCTTCTGCGTGCGATCATTAAAGAGTTTTACTTTGAAGAATAAAACTAATGTGTTTTTATTGAGTATTCCTACACATAATCCAATAGTTTTTTTCAAGTTTTTTGAAGCTCAGCGTGTTCATTTTTTCTTCTTCAATTTTTTTTGTCACCAAGTTGTTTTAACCAAGTGTTTTCGACATGGACCCTTGGGTCAAAAGTTCACTTTCCCAAGTTGAATTTAACCAAGTTTTTTAGACGAAATTTTTTAGTCGTGCTCCGACCCCATTATGATCCAAAAAGTCCGAAAACGCAATTTTCAGACCGTGTCCCTACGTATGTGTGTGGTAAAGTTTTTCTTCAATTGTTCACTAATGAATGAATAAATGAGTAAATGAAAGAAAGAATGCAATAATCATAGTTTTGATTTAACGAATTTGCAAAAATCTTGTCCTCATTGAAAATAAAAATTCCGGGCATATCTTTGGATAACACGCTTCAAACTGCTTCAGTAGGGGAGGCTAGGGTAAAACGGACACTTTTGACTTTTTTTGAAATATTCATGACGTATTGACTTGTTCATGAAATGGAATAATTTTATTTTTCAATTGAAAAACAATGATTCCTCTTTGTGATGAGCTTAGAATGAGCTCAATTGATAAATTTGTTTCTGAGTTATAAATATTTTTAAAAAATTCAAAAATGTCCATTTTACCCTACCCTCCCCTACACAAAAAATCCAAAACCAAATCCAAATGTGACCGATTAAAATATTTCCATTCGGTAGCAAAAAACGACCGGTAACACAAACATCACGAGGAAATACCAAATTTGTTGACATCTTTGCAATCTATTTCATCGATAAGATATCGCCCAGACCCTCATCACAGTTTCTCCTCATTGAAATCACCCTGCTATTTGCAGCTATCTGTTGAAAGCGATAGAGAGCACCGATAAGGCCTGCTTCCGTACAGGCAGGTAGCGATGAAAAACATCGATTAAACCCCTAAACTAATCCAGATAACGCATTTTAGCTTCGATGTAAACGTTGATTTCTTACATAATCCCTTTTGTCGAGTGTCACGATTGTCAGACAATAAGTTACATAAAGAATGTTGGAATGAGCAAATATTCAGTGGGTTTCAGCTGCAAAAACTAGGTACACAAAAACATATCATCCTCCCAATGGACTTTAGCAGATAATAGTGATTAGTTACACATGTACGAGGAAACCTCGTAATTACGAAAGTGCGTGTAATTGCCGGCTTGGGTGGAGATAACCTTGAGGATCATTGTTTGATAAAGTGCAATTGGAGGGTCATTTTCGAAAATGATAGGACAATTGTTGTCCCCAGCCTGGACCAACACAACAACAATCACTGAACAAAGTAGCACAATTGAGGTATCGGTGTTGACTGAAGGAAAAATATTGGTATTGAATGTCGAAAACCTCATCGTCGACCAATGATTGACGTTTGCCTGCACTGCACACTCCACATTGACTACTCAGTAAGATTTTTTGTACTCGCAATCGCATGAATGGGGAATAATTAATGCGAGAAATTCACTCACCTCAATACGATGCCTCACACGAGAGCAGTCTTGGATGCGTGATTGTTCAACTGACGTCCACTGACGGCTGTGGCTTATTCGTTAACCCTGGTTAAGTGAACACGTGATCGCTGGACGCCTTGTGCGCTACTGACGGGGGAGTTGACTGCTGTGCGCCTGTCCGTTTTACTCCACTGCTGACCGGGAAGACCAAGCCCGGTTTTTAAGGATCGTGTCATTTTTTTTTTTCGTCCTCAACCGTCCGAATCGCTCGGTCTTTCGGGAATGAATGGGGACGCGTTATCGGTGACTTCAGGGGGGATTTTTTGTTTGTAGAATCAGTTGTTTTCGGTGGAAATATTGCATAAGAAATCGGGGGGTGGTCAGTACTTTTTCTGGCTCTAGCTGGGACAATGTGTAAATTGACCTTCGAAAAAGCGACGATTACTTTTTCCGATGGTTTTTATCGGTTCGGATTTGTTGTTTATCGGTTTTTAAGTCGTTGGTTGGTTATTCCTTATTTCAGGCATCGGCATAATCGAAATTTTAAATTACAGTTAAAATTGGAATAAGTGAATTGTTAATGTTACTCACCAATTTTCTTTATTTTAAAAATAATTATCAATTTAAATTTTCAAATTCCGAATTATTTTATCCATCGTCAACTTAAATATTCAAGTTCGAATTATTTTATCAAAACCAATAACTGAGAAATTAAATGTCTCATAATATTACTAACAGTAATGATTGATGCCGATCTATGCCTTATCTTCTCCATTGTCAGTGTTAGCAGATCGTGACATCACTCCATTTAAAATTGTATAAATTTTGATTATAAATAGAGACGATCTGACAACCCTGTCCACTATTTTTGAAGAATTATCAATCATAATAGGGAACTTGCATGAAACTCAATTCAGTAGCGAAGTGGTAAAAGGGGATAAGTCAATTTTTTTTTTATTACGGGGATAAGTCAATTTTGACTACTCACCAGTTTTCAATCAATATCTCGGAATCTAAGGGAGATAGCGAAATTTTCGTAAAGACATTTGTTGTAGTACTCAATCGGCTCCACAAAAAAGGTTATAACAAAAATTTCACTATCTCCCTTACATTTCGAGTTATTCATTGAAAACTGGTCAATAGTCAAAATTGACTCATCTCCTTTTACCACTTCGCTACTGAATTCTTTCTAATTATCATAAGACATCTATTGTCTAGTGTCTTATGATAATTTATGATTTTCATTGAAAATCAGTCGCTTTCGAGGCCAATTTTCCGGTCATGACGTCACGAAGACGGTCAGGTAACGCTTCATTGGTCGAAAAAGAAGAGAGTGGGGAGTTGGCGTCCTCCATTGGCGAGGCGCACTTCAAGATTGGATTAGGTCCGCTTGAGCCATTCTGTGATTGGTCCAGCGCTCGACCGTCTGTGTGACATCAGCAGCGATTTCAAAGCGTTTGAAATCTTCAACTTTTGACAATTAATTATTAATTAATGAGCAATATTTCAAACGTTTGTGGCTGAAAAATTATTAATTATTCAGGTCCCAAACTTGAGATGAGGAAATTGAAAAAAAGATCATGCAAATTCTCTATTTTGTAGGTGAATAATCTGCAATAACACCTTTCAATGTAATATTTTGGAAATATTTAAAATAGAAAAAATGTCCACTTTCTGTGAATTCATATCTAGATATTAATTACCTGTCAAAATCATTGCTTTTGTCAGAAGTCTATACACACATGAATTGCACACTCATCGTTTTTACCTCTTTAATTAATATTTTCGGGTCAAGGAAAAAAGTCATGTTTAAAACATTACAGATCGTTTAAACTTTTGATTTCTCCATATTATTCACTGAAAATTGAATTTATACTACAATTTTTTGCTAAATATTCAACATTCTTTTGGGAGAATTATTGGTTTTCAATTCGCTCACTGACGCATGTTTCATTGGGGAATTTTTCAGTGACGCATCGAAGGTCTGCGGATTGTTTAATTATTCCGCATTTCTCCCTTTTCCTCATTGTTCCGGAAAAATTGTCAGACCATCATTTTGTAAATGAATAATCAGGAATAACGTCTTCGAATGTAATATTTTGAGAATATAAAAAAAAAAGAAAAAATGTCCAGTTTCTGTGGATTCATATCTACAGATATTAATTACCTCTCACAGTTATTGCTTTTGTCGGAGCTCTATACACGTGAATTGCGAATTCATCGTTTCGACCTCCTTAACAAATATTTTCGGGTCAAGGAAAAAATCGTTCACACCATTACAAATCGTATAAACTTTCATTTTTTCCATATTACTGATTGAAAATCGAATTTATACTTCAATTTCTTACTTCACATTCAACATTTTTAGGATAATTCACGCACGAAAAAATTTAATGGAAAAACCTAACGAATTCGCTAACCAATTCGATTGGATTTCTATTGAGATTTCTATTAGTTTTTGGCTGATTCTATTGAAATGTTCACACGGAGAGAAATATTCAATAAAAATTACGTATCTTTTCCGTAATTCTGGAGCGAAATGTGGTTGTAGGAAATTTTACGGAGCTTTCCGTAATTTTTCACAGGAGATTCAGAGAAAAATTACGGTACCGTCACTTAAATTTTCTGAGTCGATTCGGTAATCGGTGAGCGAATTGTGAGTTCCGTAATTTTTACTAAACATTTCTCTTCGTGCAATAGAATTTGATTTTTCTGTACAATTTATTCTATTGGGATATTTTCTCTAGAATTTCCTGGGCGCAAATTTTCCAAGTGTTTTTGTTCGATTTTCTTAATGAAAAGAAAAGAATAATAGAATAAAAAAACTTTGAAAATTTGAGCCGAGGAAATTCTATAAAAATTATCTCAATAGAATAAGTTGTATAGAAAACTCGAATTCTATTCTTTTCTATAAAATATTTTCTATTGAACATTTCAATAAAGTCGGCCAAAAACGAATTCGAAAGTTCAGTAGAAGTCCAATAGAATTGTCTAGCGAATTCACTAGAGTTTTCTATTAAATTTTTTCGTGCCTGATTTTCGGGGAAAGAATAAAAAAAAGAAATGTAGAAATACAACACATCCTTTGTAGCGAGTTTCTTTATATAATTGATTGGAAGGAATGTGAGTCGATACTTTGTCTATTATTGTATTCGGTTGCATGTGCGGTTTACTTAGTTATTCAGCTGTGAACGGATACAAAGCATTAATGGGAGTATTACTATAATTGAATGACGAATTGGGACTTTGAACTTCTATTGTGCTTTAGGGGCTGATGAGGATGACTGACCGGCCGCAAGACGAAACCAGTCAGTGCCAATAAAAATCGAAGAAGATGAAAAAGAGGATGACTGAGATTGATGTGAATCTCAAAGAGATTCAATATTTTGTGTACACAGAGACTAGATGTAATTTTGTTCGACAATGTCATGGTTCTCACGACATTGAACAAGTGATCCGCTCATTTAGATAAGACTCTTCCAGCCCACGGGAAAAAATAGCTACGAAGAAGAGACGGAAATCACATGGGTTTTAGCACGTGATTGGAGCGTGTTGTTTTTTTTTCTGGGGCTTTTTTCCCTGGTTCCCATCAAAATTGAACGATATCCAAGTTTTTTTATAGTTTGGTAGAGACCACGCTATAAATTCAACCATTTTCAATCATCACATTTGTCATTTAAATTGCATGAGAACAAATTGAATAAAACTATGAATATTCAGCGTCATTCAAACTACATTTTGCACCGAATTGTTATTTTTTAAACACTCGTTGTTGATAAAGAGATAATTGAAATTGTTTAAACTTTCGGAAACCTTTTTGTTAGGCAAGAAATTAATTTCTGGGACAATTCTGAATATGAATAAATTTGGTACGATTCCGAACAAATGATTTTTATGGTCGAAAATTGATTTTTCATAAATTATTTATGGAAAATGCTCGTAATTTTCAAAAATTGCAATTTTTTTAATGATTGCATCAATCTTTCTCTAAAAACAAACTTTCCCTTTTTTTTCGAATTGAAAAAATGTTTTCTAACCGTTTAAATGTAAACCTGAAAAGTTTAAATAATAAAATCATTACAGAGTGTCCAGAAACTTGGGGTGAAACGGGGTTCAAATGAAAGATCTGATGTTCGTCTATGAAAGTATAAAAGCAGTTCACTGGAAAAAAACAGTCCAAGTACTGTAGTTTGGTAGAGACCACACTACAGAATCAACCATTTTCAATCATCAAATTTGTCATTTAAATTGCGTGAGAAAAATTTGAATAAAACTATGAATATTCAACGTCATTCAAACTATATTTTGCACTGAATTTTCATTTTTTAAACATTCGTTGTTGATAAATAAATAATTGAAATTGTTTAAACTTTCGGAAACCTAATTTTTTCAGGCATGTAATCGATTTCTGGTAAAATTCTGAATATGCATAATTTTTTTACGATTCCGAACAAATGATTTTTATAGTGGAAAATTGATTGTTTATAAATTAGTTATAGAAAATAGTCGTAATTTTTAAAAACTGCAATTTTTAAATTATTTTGTCAATCTTTCTCTAAAAGCAAACTTTCCCATTTTTTTCAGATTTAAAAAATGTTTTCTGACAGTTTAATATCAAGATTCAAATTCAGAACTAAATGTTTAAATCATAAAATTATTGAAAACTGTCCGAAAACTTAGGGTCAAATGGGGCTCAAAACCATTTCACTAGAGAAAAAATAGTCCAAGTACTTGGATATATTTAAGTCGACTTAGCTCTCAGCTGAGTTTTCGAAGAATATCCCCGAACCTAAGAAAAATATCGAAATCCTCGTAATAACCTTTTTTGTAGCTCTCAATTCGCTCTAAAAAAGTTCATGAGAAATATTCCTACATCTGCCTTAGATTCCAAATTCATTGAAAACTGACCAATAATGAAAATCGACTTAAACCGTTTTCCTACTCCGCTACTGAATTCTATCAATCATATTGGGGTGAGTGGGGTAACAGGAGAGGGTGGGGTAAAATGGACACTTGATTTTTTTTTAAATATTCATAACACAGAAACAGATTTATCACTTAAGCTCAGTCAAAGCTCATCACAAATATTCATTATTGGTCTTTCTATTGAAAAATAAAATTATTCCATTTCACGACCAATTCAACGCGTCATGAACATTTCAAAAAAGTCAAAAGTGTCCATTTTATCCTACCCTCCCCTATAGGCAGTTTTGACTTTTTTAAATGTTAATAATACATTGAACGATTGTTGAAATGGAATAATTTTGTTTCTTAATAAAGTACAATTCCTCCTCTTTATAATAAGTCCCGACTGAGTCCAACAGATAAGTTTATTTTTGAGTTGCAAACATTGGAAAAAAAAACAAAATTGTCCATTTTGCCCCACTCTCCCCGTTATGAATCAGTTTTGGAAATATTTCGAAGAGCCAATTCAAATATTTTGCGCGGGAAATTGAAGTCAACTATAGAGATGGCGCTAGTACCTTTTTCTGAGAATTCGAGTTTTCTGTCTTGCTTTAGTGTGCTTTAGTTTACTCTCGGGTCGTTCTGCACGTGTCAATGTTTTATTTACTTCGTAATTATTTAAACATTTGACAAATTAAAACAGCGGTGAATACAGGCATTCATGATGGTACCGGAAGACAAAACTCCTGGGAACTTCAAGAGTGAGTTTTTAATATTTCATAATAAGAGAATTGTTTCTAGAATAAAAACAATTTTATAAATTTTACCTGATGAATATGTTAGCTGATTATCTTAGTGAATAATTCTTTATTTTTGGCTGAAAGTGAAAAATTATTGACTGCAATTATTATTTTTTTATTATTCATTCTTCTTTGTTGGTTGAGATTGTTATTAGTCATTTGCAAGAATTTGCAGGAACAAAATACGAATACACTCCGGTTAACCTTAACGTTTTCAATAATAAGGAAGTAGGATCATGGGAAATGTGGAGAAAACAATAAACTGCACTAGATTATTGTCAATTCGCGACGTTTAGCTTATAATTTGAGCTTCCTCAGGCTTCTTGACAATATAATATGACTAGGGTAAGCTACCCAATAGATGGACACTGCCCTGTAGATGGACGAGCTACTTTTGGATAGGAAATTACGTAAAAAAATACTGAAATGTGAATTGTTGCTTTGAATTTTCACTATCTGTTGTGATTCTTAACCCCTGAGTGACGATTTTTTTTCGATCAATTTTTTTTTCAATTGCTAAAAAACAAACTTCCATCTACTGGGCGGTTTTCTTAGGCGTCCATCTACTGGGCAGTTTACCCGATGTACTCAATTGTCAAGAAACCTGAGGAACCTTAAATTATAAGCGAATCGTCGCGAATTGACAATAATCTAGTGCAGTTTATTGTTTTTTCCACATTTCCCATGATCCTACTTCCTTAATATTAACTATGGAAATGAATAATAATTTCAGTGATTGAACGTTTTCAATGTTGAATACATTTTTTATGCATTTAATTTCATCTTGTAATTGGCCTTGAGCTGTTGGGTCTTCATGAAATAAAAATTGAAAAAATGGAAAATTCTATTAATCTGCTGTGAGGCCCAGCTTTGCTCGGGCAGAATAACAGAAAATTGAATACTAGGATTTTTTAGAATTACTGCAATTGAAGAAAAATCTCAATGTTTTCGACTTTTCGAATTTTCTCAATTTCTTTGGAAAACCCTCAAATTTTCTTGACTTCTCGGGTGTTCCAAAAAAGTCGAAAACGTTAAGGTGTTTTTTTTTAATTGCAGGAATTCACAAAAATCCTGGTATTCAATTTTCTCCTATTCTGCACGGGCGGAGCCGGGCCACACAGCTAGTTTGAAATTAAATTGGTCCATTCGAACAAGAAAATTTCCTTTAAAAAATCCGAGAATTCCTTCGAATTTTCTAGAAAATTCGAAAATCGCTTTGAATTTTTTAGAAAATCCAAAAATTTCCTCTAATTTTCTAGAAAATTCAAGAATTCTTTCAAATTCTCTGTGAAACCAAAGAATTGTCTGGAATTTTCTATAACATCCGAGAGTATCATCAAAATTTCTAGAAATCTCAAAAATATTTTCGAAAACTCGAGAATATTTTTGAGCCTTTTCCGTAATAAATGTCTCTGTGCAGTGTGGGAAAAAATTTACGAAATCAGTCTTCCCCCGGCATGATATTGTGTGACAGGCCTCCATTTGTCACCCTAAATCAGATACATTTTTCAATTTCTTGTTATTCAACTTATTCTGAATATAAATTAAAAATGCTATTTGAAAAAATTAAGAATATCCTCTACTTTTTTTTTATTATTCATTCATAATTTTCCAAAACTTCTGCACGATGCAGGACTCAATTGACAATTTCAGATGATGAAAGATGAAAAAAAACATCGAGATAACGTTGGAAAGATAGTACATCCGGGCCTTAAACAGTTAAATTGTTAATAAATATTGAAGGCCAAACTTATTCGCAAAAAAATACATATTCGGTTTCTGCACATCAAAATACATAAAGTCCCCAAGTTTCAAGATTTACATCGATTTTATACCTTTTGGCCTCAGCGTATTGACTATTATAATACTATATTTAAGGTTTCTCTTTTCCTTTCAGGTGTATGGTTGAAATATGATATCAACAGTTCTGACAAACATCAGTTATTCATTAAAGAACATTCAGTGAAAAGACAACAACCAGAACATCCAAAAGGGCGTACCCTATTCGTATTGAATATTCCTCCTTACGCAACGAAAGATTCTCTGAAAAATATTTTCGCGAGGCATTGTGGCGGTGTAACCAGTGTGAGCTTGCATCCAGCCCTAGGAGGCTCTCAAAATGGTTTCAAGACTGCTTACATAGTATTTGCGAAGGAATTTTCACTGGAGAAGGCTCTGGCCCTTCCAAGGGACTTTACAGTTGTCTTAGAAACCGAGGAAACCCCTCAAAATCCACTGGGTCTGCTCAAGTGGTGCAGAGAGTATAACGAAGAAACAAATGTTGATGAGACGACCGTGAAAGAAGAAATAGCGAAGTACATGGCAGCTTATGACAAGAGGATTGAGGAGCGTTTGGCTGCTGGGAGCACTCAAGAAGATGCTGATGGATGGGTCACGGTTTCGAGTAAAAAGAAGAGAGGCCAGTTTGCTCCGAGTAGAAAAGAATCGACTATTGATAAAGTGCAGCATAAAGAGCAGGAGAAGAGTAAAAAGAAGCAGTTGCTCAATTTTTACACTTTCCAAATCAGAGAATCTAAAAAACAACGTGAGTATTGCCGATGAAAATCGCTTTAGTGAGAAAAAAGTTTCTAATTTCCAGAACCAAGTTATTGATTTTAAGAAACTCAATGAGAAACTGATTACGCGATTTCAGGAGAAATATACAAAAATGTAGTACCAAACCTCTTTTCATTTTAAGGATGTACTACACCCATTCGGTCAAAATTCACGTTTTTTCATTTTTTTGGCAAATTATTAATCGGATTGACGTGAAATAATATACCGTTTTTGCGTTTTATCATTATTGACTGACTCACGAAGTTTCATGGTAGTGCAATCATTTTCCTGCATTTTTTCTAAAGTTTTGTGAATTTCCGAAAAGTTTTAGAAACGCAGGAAAATGATTGCACGATCATGGAATTTCGTGAGCCATTAAGTAATGATAAAACGCAAAAACGGTATATTTTTTCACGTCAATCCGATCCACAATTTACCAGAAAAAATCAAAAAACGTGAATTTTGGCGAAAAGGGTGTATTACATCAGATCCGATGAATTAGCCTCTCATGTATAGATATTCCAAATTTTTATTTTTTTCCTCATTGAAGTAATTTTCAAGAAAAATGCGAGCTAATAAAAAACATTTGCTAGTTAGTACTTTTTTTTAAATAAATTTTTGAAAAATCACCCCTGAAAAAAAAGGCGTTATCCCCCCTATTTCATTATTTCCAAAAAATTTTATCA